AGACGTCTTTCCCAAGATAACGTATCTTGGAATTCCGTCTTTCCAAGATAATTTATCTTGGAATTCCGTCTTTCCAAGATACGTTATCTTGGAATTCCGTCTTTCCAAGATACGTTATCTTTGAATTCTATCTTTCTAAGATACTTATCTTGGAATTCCGTCTTTCCAAGATCAATTATCTTGGAATTCCGTCTTTCCAAGATACGTTATCTTGGAATTCCGTCTTTCCAAGATACGTTATCTCGGAAATACGTTATCTTGGAAAGACGTCTTTCCGAGATAAATTATCTCGGAAAGACGTCTTAATAAGTGTTTATTCCATGTTTCCAAGATAATTATCTTGGAAACTCGGAAACTCGGAAGGTCACTTTAAGCTTCCGTACCGTACATTAGCATAGAGCAGTATTTATTTACTTTCACAAAATCGCGATTATCTCAGCTTCCATTTGCGAAATGGCGTAAATCTCAAAAAGTGTGTCACTTTCATCTGACTGTTGCGGGTCACAGATAGTGATTACAATAAAGTGTTTGGGACCATTGTAATGTAAAGCTAAAATGTTTGTAGTTCTTGTAGTATTCACTACACGTCAATCTCATCACATACACACTCTCTAAGAGCTTCGGAAAGGTGTTAAAATTGGCTAAAAAACTGGCAGTGGCTGATACTATTTTTTCAATCCCCTGGCGGTCAGAGTGTTAATGAACAAAATCAATCAAAACAATCAATCACTTTATCAATGATCACGACATCATTATATACATGCTAAAAAATTTTGCACTCCTATTTGCTACATATACAAGTGCAATGTTGCACTCACATTTGATACATATGCATACAGGTACAATATAAACCCTTTGGGAGTGGAGATGTTTTAGTTATTAAACTAACGCATGCATGATTAGAGCCCAGGACCCCTGGATTACCAGGCAAGCATTTCAACCACAAAGTTACAGTACAACACTACTCAAAATTAAACAATGTTATATGTAAATGTATTCCATAATAGATCTGTTAATATATTAGTTTGCTCCAATCAACTTACCTGTTCTAAGAGTTCTTGCCAGCCACACAAGTAACCATGGAGGCCAACAACATTGGATCCACCAATAGGGATTGAATATGAATTAATACCCTTTTCTTCTCTAAAAAAAAACATAAGGAAATAACATATTTGGCAACGTTTTAATAAAAAAATATGAATATGCTTAACAGAGCCCGCAAAGACACATCAAATCAATGGCATTATTAGCCAAAGGGCAGATGAGGAGGTAATGCTGGGAGAGGGATGCTGATGGGCCACACAACTTAGGGAGCCTCGCAAAATAAAGCAACGCGTATACGAGTGGACCACGCGATGCAATTAAAGGCAGTTTAATCCCATAGTTGGCCACGCGTTGGGATTATTTTCCTGGGCTACTCCACTTCGTAGTGG